TAACAATATTTCAAATGTTCATATTGTGGAGAACCACTTACCTGAGCAATTCTTTGGTTTCCTTATTGAATTCTAGTGAAACTTTTCTTCTGGAGCCTGTCAGGTCACCTTGCGAGGCTGTATCTGCTTTCCCTGTTCAGGTTGCAACACTGCAGGAATCCCTTTCACCCACCCATGGGAGTACTACGCAGTGAAAGGGCATGGTTGGGAAACATTCAGGACCTGATTACAAGTCCCACTGCCTACAAAGGTCAGGCAGTAACGTGAAGGGGCAAAGTGGGCCTGGTACAGGATGTTGGGAAGGTAGGGCAGTCTAGCCAACAGAACACTCTTCTAAAGGGGGGCTTTAGATTGTCATGCCTTGAGAATGCAGGCCCTTGATGCTCTGTTTCCAAATTATTCAAGAGAAGCTGGGAGTCTGCTCCTTATGTAAAAACTCCTGATTCCTTAAATGTTGGAAATTAGTGAAAAGATTTAGAGGGCTATCCAGTTCCCCTAAACAGACCCGTGGGGACCAAGCCCAGCCTATGGGCTGCTGATCTGGGACCTCTATTATAAGTAAATTTGGAAAACATTTTTCCGCTTGCACAGGAGGCAAGTATCAGTCTCAGCTGAAAATTTCATGTATGTAAAACAAAAATGATTTTGTTTTTATTCAGTCAACTCAATGCTGACATTGAGTTCCTATCCCACTGATTTAACAGAAAATTCTGTCATAGTCATTGACAGGGTCCTGGGCATCCCCTCTGGAGTCTGGTCAGCTCCTTAGGGTACCCCAATAACACACGTGTAGGTCAGCCCATCACTGCTCTTCTAGGGTCCACAGGTCCTACCCCAGGTCTCTGTATTCTCTCCTCTTGGCTTTGGTGCTTTTCCAAAGCCCTCCCACCCTCACCTCACTGTCTAAGCACCTTTAGTAATCTGTCCAGTGGCTCAGGCTTTGACTAAAGACTGACTCCTTCAGGATGCCTTGCAGAAGCAGCTACACAATTTGGGGGCATGGTGGAAAATGAAAATGTGGGGCCTCTTGTTCAAAACATATTAAGAATTCCAAGGTGGAGACAACAGAGCGTTAAACCAAGGGTGAGGCTCTCCTGAGTGTGGGGATCCATGGGACTGCAGTGGTCACACATCCATGAAGTGGCCCTGACGCTTTGCTTTCTGCATTGGAAAGTACCTGAGGCAAGGAATTACAAATCCTAGCTACCGGACTGAGAGGTGGCAGGGAAGTTGGGAAATGGAGAGGATTACATTGCCATGTTTTCGAGAACTGGTTCAGGTTTAGACATCCTAAGGACAAGACTACAAATTTCATAAAGCTGAGAGCAATTTGCAGGCCACATCACCAAGGACTGGTTTCAGAATTCAGCATCAACCCTCTCCATCCATCCTTTCCAGCTTCCAGTCAAGCCAGAAGGAAGGGAATCAGACGGGTTCTCTCTCTCTCTCTCTCTCTCTCTCCCTCCAATGACCTCACTCTAACATAAATAAGACCTTCTCTCTGCACTGTGGGTTCCTTCACCCCCACCGCTCTGTCTCTCCTCCCTACAGCACCTTTCTCAAAATCAAAACCCTTCCACTTCCCTTATGAGCCCGTTTGACCTGTTTTGCCTTTCTGCCCCAATCTCACAGGCCTCCCTCAATTCTAAACCCTGCTTCCCTTTTAATGCTCATTTCGCTTGGGTCTTTCTGTCCATCCTCTCTCTTCTATATTGTTCACTTTCATCCCCGAGATAATTTAGTTCCTTACAGGTAGAGAGCATCGTGGGCAGAAACTCTTACCAACAGACCACTTGCCTTGTTGTCTAGTACTGCACTTATTAGCCACCAAAAAGACTGCTGCTCTTCAGAGCTGTAACACATGCAATGATGTGTAAGAAAGGTCATCCTAAACTCCTAGGGGCTGTCAGCACTCTGCTTGCAATCTGGCGGGTCTCCCCCTCTCCTCCTTTCCTCCCAGGCTCCCAGCCAGTCTGCAAAGAGCAAGTCTGAGAAAGAGAGGAATGGGTGGGGGAGTGGTCGGTGAGGGGTGGAGGAACCGAGGGGTGGCCAGTAGTGGGAGGAGGCAAGTGAAATGGAAACTCCTAGCTTCAGCTAGCCCAGACCTTGCAACGGCCCAGGTCCGGGAGTCTTGGTGTGCTTGCTGGTGAAGGAGTTTTCTCTGCTACACTGGCCCCATGTCCTGCCAGCCCCTAAAACATAAACACACACACACATACACACACACACACACACACACACACAGAAAGAGAGAGAGAGAGAGAAACATGAGGCGCCGAGAGGACTAGCCAGTGATCTCAGCCTCAAGGACTTTGTACTGCAAGAGCACTGGCAACTGAATTCCAAGGTCATGCTCCATCTCTACTTGCTGCAAACCCCTTCTGCTGTTTGCATTTCACTGTTCCTTTTTCTGTTAATGTAAAGGAGGAGAGTGGATGAGATGTTTTAGCTCTGAAATTCTATGACCAATTGCACCGCAAAAACAACAGCAACCAAAAATGGTGGGTTTTGCTTGTGTGCCTGGAGAGAGAGTGGGGGTGGGCAGGCTTATGTCCTGTTGACTACCAGCTTCTAAGGGGAGGAGGGATCTGGCAAGAGAGAAGTGCAGCTGTCTTGGCAGAGAGAATGAGAAATGAGAGAATGAGAAAGAGAGGTAACTGCAAGCAATCCTGGTCTTTTAGAAACACTCAGTCTACAATCCCCAAACACCCACCTGCCCCCACAGTTTCCCCCCCAACACCCCATTTAAGCGCACAAATACACCCAGACGCTGGCTTTTCCTTTCACCATAGTAGTCATAAACTACGCCTCTGTGCTAGTAGTTGGGTATGTTCACTTCTAGAAATCTTTTAGAAGTAAACTCCTACCGATGTCTGTCCTCCAATCTCAGGCCAGGCCTGTGTAGTTTTGAAGGAGACTAGATTTGCAGGGAAATGAGGAGAGAATACACAGCTTGGAGATTTGAAGAGCAAAGGAGGCAAGGGTCAAGGAAATCATGGAAGAAGTCTGGAAGGATCTGTCCCTTCTCTGGTTATGGTGAACATTCACATAGGGTTTTCCATGTGCCAGACACTGCTTTAAGAGCTTTATCTGTATTAAGTCATTTAATCCTCATAAATATTCCACGAAGTAGAGACAGTCACACTATCCCCAATGTTACAGATGAAAACACTAAGACAGAAGCTAACAAGCCCTTTGTGATAGGCAGGAAAATGGCTCCCTAAAGATGTTGATATGGTTTGGCTCTGTGCCCCCACCCAAATCTCATCTCGTAGCTCCCATAATTCCCATGTGTTATGGGAGGGACTTGGTAGGAGATGATTGAATCAAGGGGGCGGATCTTTCCCATGCCTTCTCATGATAGTGGAAGGGTCGCAGATCTGATGGTTTTAAAAATAGGAGTTTCTCTGCACAAGCTGTCTCTTTGCCTGCCGCCATCCATGTGAGATGTGACTTGCTCCTCCTTGCCTTCTGCCATGATTGTGAGGCCTCCCCAGCCACGTGGAACTGTGAGTCCAATTAAACCTCTTTCTTTTGTAAATTGCCAAGTCTCAGGAATGTCTTTATCGGCAGCACGAAAATGGATTAATACAGATGTCCAGATCCTAATTCCCAGAACTTGTGATATGCAATGCTGCATGGCAAGGGAGAATTAAGGTTGCAGAAGGAATGAAGGCTGCTGATTAGCTGACCTTGAGATGGGAAATTATCTAGATTAACAGATAGGTTCAATGTAATCACAGGGTCTTTCAAAGTGAAAGAGGGAAGCAGGAGACTCGGAGAAGGAGATGTGACACAGAAGCAGAGGCTGGAGTCATGAAATTGCTGACTTTGAAGATGAAGGAAAGGGCTGCAAGCCAGGGAATGCCGGCAGCCTCTGGAAGCTGGAAAAAGCAAGGAAAATAGATTTGCCCCTAGATCCTGCAGAGAGAAACGCATCCCTGCCTACACCAGGATGATAGTCCAGTAAGACCTGTGCTGGACTTCTGACCTATAGTCCTGGAAGATGTAGTAAATCTGTGTTGTTTTAAGCCACTAAATGTGTGGTAATTTATCACAGCAGCCTCAGCAATGAATATACTCCCCAGCTTTTAAGCAGGGGATGTGGTGGCTTCAAAGTCCAGGCTTTTTCCCTGCTACTCCTTTATTTGTTTCCTCCCTCATGCTCAATATCTGTCATCTATTGATTGGTTAGTAACATTCTCAACGCCTTACTGTTTTATTAAACTTATAAAAACAATGTATGTGATTTTTAAAAAAACAATTCAGTGGTTGTGAAAGTAAGAATCAACAGACAATTTCTCCACCGTTAGCCCCGCCTCTTACATAAGCACATGCAGCATGTCTTCTTCATACAAGAATTTAATGCTAAAGCTGGTGTGGTGGCTCAGGCCTGCTATCCCAGCACTTTGGGATGCCGAGGCAGGAGGATCACTTGAGCCCTGGCGTTCGAGACCAGCCTGGGCAACAAAGTAAAACCCCCTCTCTAACAAAAAATCAAAAACTTAGCTGGGCGCGGTGGCGGAGCACTTGTGGTCCCAGCCACTGAGGAGGTGGAAGGATCACTTGAGCCTTGGAGGTTGAGGCTGCAGTGAGGTATGACTGCACCACTGCACTCCAGCCTGGGTGGCAGAACCAGACCCAGCCCCCGAAGAAAAAAAAAAAAAAAAAGGAAATTAAGAAAGAAAGAAAGAGATCCTACTCTCAATTTTAATACAACTTGCTTTTTTAATTAAAAAATATATCTAGAACCGATAGATTTTACTCGTCCTTAAAAACAGTCGTGTATTATTTTATATAAACATCTCTCGCTATTTATCAAGGCCCTCACTTGTTCAGAAATAGTCTCACTTTTGTTTTGTTTTCAACAATTTACTCCCTGTATTCCTGGGCGGGCGCCTAGCCCTGCATCCGGGATTCGGAGCCACATCTGGGGGCAGGGCCTCTGATGTCTAGGGGTGGGGCGGCAACCCCAAGCCCCGCCCCCGTGCGCATCGACCAATCAGCTCCCGGGACGGCACCTCCTCGCCACCCCCCGCCCCCGCAGTCTCCGCCTACGGTTTCCACATCCTGCAGTCTCGAGCCCGCCGCCCTGTGCCTCCTGGGCAGAGAAGCTGCTTCCTCCTGGGAACAACTGCCTGCTGCTCCTAGCAGGTTCCTACCGCCCCGAACCCGCGCTGCAGGGAACAGCGGGGCAAACAGTGAGTGGGGTTCAGCGTAGACTCTGGACCAGGAGAGGCCCGCGGTGACCGAGGCCTGGGCTCCGGGTTAGTGTCCGGGGCGGGGAGCGGTGCGCGGGGTGCGATGCTGAGTGTCTGGGGAGGGCCGGGCGTAGACTGCGGCCTCTCCGCGCTCCCCCAGGTGATAGAGCCGTTCCACCGAGGATCCCTTCCTTAGTCTCTACCCCGTTGATGATTTTTCTCTGCAGCTCGGTCCCTATTTCATCTCGCCGCATTGTTATGCCCTCTGCTGGGCGGGAGGCGATGACCCTCCCTATTTTCGTAGGATTTGTTTTTTGCTCCGCAAGAAGCCATTAAGATCTAGATCTGAGCTAGCAGGCACCCTCGAGGCGATTTGATCTCGCCTGCTGGGGGCTTGCATTCTTCTAGGCTAGCTTGTTAAGCCCAGGTGGAAGTTCTTATCCACCCCAGTGCTCTAGGCGCCCACGGGCTCGGTGTGGGTTTGTGGTGGGGGAAGGGAGCTGGGGAGGGGTTGCGGTGAGAGCCGCGCGGGGATTCAGGCTGAATGTTAGTCTGGAATGCATTTGGCCTGAAGCAGCAAGTGCTGGATGATACAGTTCGCTGGTAAACAGCCGACAGCTGGCCGCTGGTTTGGCCCAACCTGCAACGGAAGAAGGCCTTGAGTACAGGAGAAAAAGATCTTTGCGAATTGGATGATCATGGAAATTTAGAAGAAGTACAGCTCGAACTAGACATAAAGGACATAATGTGTCTGTCTAGCTGACCAGCCAACCATCGGTCCATCACTTTCATCCTCCAAACTAGTGATTTGTTGATGAATTGGTTTCAATACTTGGTTTTTAAAATGTTTAATAAAAAGTACAAATAAAAAACATTTTATTAAAATGTTTAATAAAAATAAACGAATGCCTGACCATCTCCTTGGGTCAAGAAATAGGGTGCCACAGTACCTTAGAAGCCCATGAGTCCAAACTGATGCCCATTCTCCTCCCTTCTCTGAGATGTGACATCTTTCGTGATTTTTGTCTTAATGATTCCCTTGCTTTTCTTTTTAGTTTTACCATATTTGTGTGTGTATTCCTAAAACATATGTGTTTGCTTTCTCAATTTTGTACTTTTATATCAATGACATTATCCTGTACGTATTCCTAAGTTTTATAGATTCATCTTTCATGCTTCCATTTTCGTCGTTTATGGTGTAAATGTACATAATTTATCCATTCTACTGCTGATGGACATTGGATTGTTTCTAGTTTTGGAGTGTATGAATTATCTATAAGCTATGTAACAAATTACCCCAACACCTAGCAGCTTCAAACCAAAGCGAACAAGCAAAATAAATCATGTTACCTCCTATCTTACAGTTTCTGTGATCAGGAATCCAGGAGGGGCTTAGCTGGGAGTATCTGACTCAGGGTCTCTCACAGGCTGTATCAACAATCAAGGTATTGACTGGGCCTCAGTCATCTCAAGGCTAGGTGTAGGGTCGAGGACCTCTCCCAGGCTTACTCACGTGATTGCTGGCAGGCCGAATGGCCTCACTGACCCTGGCTGGATACATCAGTTCTTTGCCACATGGGCCTCTGTGTAAAGAATGGTTGCAACATGGCAGCTTACTCCCCCCAGAGTGAAGGCTCCCACAGAGAAAAAGAGAAGACAGAAGTCAGATTCTTTTTGTAACCTTAGAAGCGACATTCCATTATTTTTGCCATTTTTTATCCATTAGAAGTGAGTCACTAGGTCCATCTCACACTGAAGGGAAGGGGGTGATAAGGACATGAACACGTGGAGGCAGGGATTATTGGGGCCACTTTAAAGCCTGCCCACGTCCTCTAATATTCAAGTACACTTGTGTGGGAGCTTCCCTAGAGTATACAGCTGGGAGTAGAATTGCCGAATTATAAGATTTATGTATATTCAATTTTATTAGGTCATTTCTAAACTGTTTCCAAAGTGTTAAACCAGTTTGCACTCCCTCCAGCAGTGGATGAACGTTTGTTGCTCTACATACTTGCCATAGCTTGGTCTTGTAAAATTTCATTTTTTGTTAGTCTGGCAGGTATGAAGTAACATTTCACTGTGATTTTAATTTGCATTTTCCCATAACTAATGAGATTGGCTGTCTTTTTATATGTTGATCAGTTTTTGTGCTCTTTGTGAAATTTTGATTCCTGTCTCGTATTCATTTTTATATTGGATTGTTTACCTTTTTTATTGACTCATTGGAATGCTTTCTTTATATAATCTGGGTACTAAACAATAATTGTTAGCTATATATGCCACAGACATCTTTCCGAATTGCTTTTGAGGTTTTTTTTTCTCTGTCTTTATGTCGGTTTCTTTCTCTGTCTCTATCAATGAATCTAAGTTTTGAATTTAATTTCAAGTTAGTAGTACTTTCTTTTATAGCTTGTCTTGTTTGATAATTATTTTCTCAAGATCATAGATTAATTTTAGTGTATCATTTTCTAAAAGTGTTATGGTGTGTTGCCTTTGGCTGTTAGACTTAATCCATATGGAAACTGATTTTTATGTTGTTTATTCCATATGGATAATCAATTGCCCCAGCACCAGTGATTTGCATGAATCAGGATTTCCATATAAGCATGAATTTGTTTTAAGCCCATTCTTATTTTCTATTTGTCTAACTCTGCCTCAATACTAATAATTTGTAACCACTATAGTTTTATTAAAAGCCTTGAAATTTGGTAGGAAAAGTCCTATCACCTGTTTTTTCTTCGTTAAGAGTGTTTTAGTTTTACTTGGACCTTTGACCTTCCATATAAATATTTAAATAAACTTATCAAGTTCTCCAAAACAAGAAACAAACAAGCAAATAAACCTGCTGGAATTCTGATTGATATTGGATCAACTCTGTGTCTTAGTCTGTTTTGCGCTACTGTAGCAAAATACCTGAGACTGAGTAATGTATAAGAAACTGAAATTTATCAGCTCACAGTTCTGGAGGCTGGGAAGTCCAAGACTGACTGGCTGGCATCCGGCAGGAGCCTTCTTACTGTGTCATTCCATGGCATAAAGGCAGAAAAAGGGCGAAAGAAAGTAAAAGGAGGGTGAACGCCACCTTTTATAATGAACTCACTCCCGTAGTGACAGCATTAATTCATACACTCTGCCGTCATGGCCTGATGGCCTCTCATTAAGCCCACCTCTCAACACGGTTACATTGAGGATTAAGTTTCCAACACCTGCTTTTTGAGGGACACATTCAAACCATTGCACTCTATAAATCATTTTGGGAAGAAATTACTTGTAAGACATTGGCTCTCTTCCTCAACGATCATGGTTTATGACACTATTTGTGTCATCTTCAATGTTTTGTACTATTTTTTTTTATTTTGGCTCAGTTTTTGTTAAATTTCTAGGCACATTATATTTTTACTGCTATTGTAAGTATTTCCTTTTGTAAAAGTTATATTTTGTAGCTTATTGTTGCTGGCATACAGAAATTCAGTTGCCTTTTATATATCAATCAAACTTGAAAATTAATAATTCTAAATTTACCTGTAGCTTCTTTCAGATTTGCAACATAGGCAATCATCTGAAAATAATGATAATTTTGTTTATTCCTTTCCAATTCTTATACCTTTAATTTCTTTTTTCTGTCTTATGACAATGACTAGGAGCTCCAGTACACTGTTGAATGAAAGTAGTAAAGGGCATCTTGTTTTGTCCTTAAGATAATAAAGAGAAATATTTCACTATATCAACTTAAAAATGGCATTTGCTATAGTTACTTTGTAACCATCTTCCCCATGATAAGAAAGTTCTGTTCTTCTTTTGGTAAGCACTTTTATTATAAATGGATGTTTTTTCAAATGGTTTTCCTGTAGCTGTTGAGAATATATATACTTTTTTCCTTTAACTATATTAAGAACATAGTATAGTATTTAATTTCTGATATTAAACCAATTTTGTATTCTTAGAATAAACCTTTCCTGGTAAATATGTAGTAACTTCTGTAAGTGGATATAGATACAAAGGTAAACATTGGATATTTATATTTATATGTGTGATTTAAGATTGGCATGTAATTATACTTTTCTGTACTATCCTTTTCTGATGTTGGTATTATCATAAAATAATATGAATAGTATTCTCCCTTATACTATTCTTTGGAAGAATTTGTGCAAGATTGGGATTATCTGGTCCTTGAATATTTCCTTGAATCACCTGTAAAATCATCTGTGTTTGGAGTGTATTTTGTCAGAAGATTTTAATGATTATAGAACTACTTAGGTTTCCCTATGGAGTCAGTAGTGGTAAATTGTATTTTCCAAGATATGTAACAATTTCACATATACATGAGTGTATAAGTATACATATATGTATATGTTTATTCAATATATAAAAATACATTTGACCATTGAAGAATGCAGTAGTTGGGATACTGACCCCTGTCAGAATTGAAAATTTGTATATAACTTTTGAGTCCTCTAAAACTCAATACTAATAGCCTGCTGGTGAGTGGAAGTCTTACTGTTAACATAAGCAGTTGATTAACACATATTTTATATGTTATATTCTTAACCAGAGAAAAGAGAATGTTATTAAGAAAATCATAAGGAAGACAAACATATTTCTCATTCATTAAGTAAAAGTGAATCATCATGAAGGTCTTCCTTGTCATCTTCACATTGAGTAGGCTGAGGAGGAGGAGGAAGGGGAGGGATTGGTGTTGCTGTCTCTGGGGTGGTAGAGATAGAAGAAAATCCAGATGTAAGTGGACCAAGGCAGTTCAAACCTGCATTGTTCAAGGGTCAAATGTATATACATGAATATATATATTCAAGATCAATAAAATTGTTTATAATATCCTCTTATTCTGTTTGTAAATCTTTCCATTATCTATTGATATGGCCACTTTTTTATTGTTAGTATGTGTGTATTTTCTTTCTCTTTTTGTTTTATTTTTTCCAGAACTTGGTCTACTTTATTAGTTGTTCAAACAGCAACATAAAAGCTTTATGTCTTTTTCATATTTTTACTTACTTTATTACTTCTTCCTTCTTTCTTGGAATTTTTTCTATGATTTATTTTCTAAGCTT